CGGAGGCTGGGAGAATAAACTAACCGGGGTTTCTAACGCTGGCTCCTATCACAATTACAAATGTTGGTACAATAAAATAAATGCTACAGATGTGGAATGCCATTATTATATCGACAATGTTTGGACGGCGAGGCACGTTTTGAGCAATTCGGTAAATAAACCAATGTGGGTGATTATCAACATGCAGATGGAGGGGGATAGCGGTGGTCCCGGCCCTTCCGGCGATACATTTTACACCGGCAAAAATATCTATATGGGAAGAGAGAGGGCCTTTTAATTTATAAAACCAAATTCCCCATGGGAGGTGGCTTTACAGCTGCCTCCTTTTGTAGTATATTATAAGATGAAAGCGTATCTGATCATATTTGCGAGTGTATTACTTTGTATTTTATTGATGCAATGTAAGAAGGAAGAATTGGCAACTCCAGAGGACGAGGTAAGCCTGGTCATCGATAACATTAACTTGCTAAGAAAAAAGGGATGTTACTGTGGTAATGATTATATGCCTCCTGTGCCTAGCTTGTCTTTAAATAGCCAATTGCAAAATGCTGCAACCGGTCACGCCAGGGATATGGTTCAGAAAAACTATTTCGATCACTTATCTCCTGAGGGCGGCACACCAGCCGAACGGGTATTAAATACAGGTTATAAAGGCAGTTTTATCGCAGAAAATTTAGGTAGGGGGTATCTCCGTGCAGATCAGTTAGTAACGGCCTGGAAAAATAGCGTAAGCCACTGTCGCGCCATGATGGATGCCAAAAGTAAAGAAGCAGGGGTAGGTATGGCTCAAAATTACTGGGTAGTAACCTTTGGTAGTTTGTAAGTTGGCAAGGCTTTAATTAATTATATTTAGCTTATTAAATAAATGTTTGGACAAAGTAAAGATTAGCATGAAAAGGTCAGTCAAAATAATTATAGCTGCGGTTGCATTCGTCATCCTATTGGCATTTATTTTTAATCCTTTTTATTGGTTAATGCAACCCGGCCAAATCATAGAACAGCCAGAATTATCATCAGCCGAGCAACTGTATTTTAAAGAATTAGAGAAAACCTACAATTGTAAATCACAAAGGTTCTATTATAATTATACAAAGAACGAGGCAGATACGCTATACAAAGATTACAATAAGGTTCCTTTCGATTATTATTTGTCTATTGATTTTCCTGTAGACCGCGTCATTCAAAAAGATGAGCTGTTTAATATTGCTCAGCATCTTAAAGATGTTATCCTGAATAAAAACAAAAATTTAAAGCGTGTTACAATTTATAGAAATTACGATACCCACGAATATTTGTATGATGTAACCAAAGATACTTTAACCGAAAAGAAGGATTAAGGAATAACCTCATTAGAAGCAGACAGATAACAGTTATTGCTTCACCTTAAACGTGAGATAAAATATTAACCAGCTTACCGAAAGGATCTCTGACGTAAAATCTTTTTACTCCCCAGGGCTCAATTACCGGGCCGTATTCAATAACAAACCCGGCTTCCTTTGCACGATTTAAAGTTTCCTCGAAGTCATCCACTTCAATAGACAGATCTGGCGTTAATGTTCCCGAACCACCTTCAGAAGCAAAACTGATCTGCACACCCATGTTTTGATCAGTCCCATAAGTTGTAATCCAGCCATGATCCATCAGGATTTCCAGGCCTAATACAGTCTTATAAAAGACTTCGGCTTTAGCAATATTTTCGGTATGAATATTTGCAACAATTCTTTTAACCATAAAAAAGGAATTGGAATTATGATTCTATCATAAGGGTAAGAACAGTCTTACCATCTTTAGTTGTATATACCATGATTCCGGAGAGCGCGAGATCAGCGATGTCATGTCCCCATATACCGTGTTTTCCATTGGTTTCATTACGATTGCGCATGGTTGTTCGTTTTTCAACCGGAATGGTCTTTATAGAGGCTGTAGCTTCTTCTTCCTTATATATTTTGTAATAAGCTTTACTGATTTCTTTAAGAAGGGTTGCTCTGGAAAAGCCGGTATCCGATGTCAGCTCAAGTTGATATTCGACATTTAATGGGTAATCAATGATAACGGTTATCTTATTTGAAGTGATCATTATTTCGTTGGCATATTTAAGATTGGGAATAGCTTCATCTGGTTTTTCAAGACTAGCCCAGGGAATGATCCCATTTTCGTAAGTTGCTGTGTCTGGAGTGGTCACCTCAAAAGAAATACTTCCCAGAAGCGCTCCGAGTTGATCCCAGCTTTTTTCAGTGGCTTCTTTTTCTTTAAGTATTTCCTGTTGATTCTGTTCTTGCCCAAAGGTTTTTACATTGCAGCAAAGTAGAATGAAAAGGAGGAGGATGGAGAGATGTTGTTTCATAGCGCTAAAAAGGAAAATGTTATTCAACGATTGTGTTGAGTAGGTATTGACGAATATCGATATTTTTACTTGTATAATAATATATTTACATCTTATGGGAATCAATAATTAAATTGATCGCAGGATGAACTGAGTACCAATAGAAAAATTCAATGATCATTAATACGATATGAAAAATAAAATCGAAGAAATGC